AAAGGTCCACATAACAAAAGGCCAGAAACCAAACAAATTAACAAATTATGTCTAAAAACTGACCTGAGCTTGCAGTTCGCAAAAGAATCATCGTCAATGGCTAAATGCGTGCTCAATGCTTTTACGACAACGTCCTCCTCCTCCTCCTTGAGCTGACCGAAGATACCGATTAGACGCGAAAACTCAAGTGCTGACCACGAGACACTCGACGAAGGTTGTGGTGAGTTCGCGGGCAAGAAGATATCGACGACGCCTTCAGTTAAGCGAACACTCAAAACAAAAAGCGAATCCAGGTAGCGAAGACATCGAATCAGTCCCCCAAAACCTACAAAATATTGTTCATAGACATTTAAGGAGACACTAGTTGAAAATGCTTTTGTTGTTAGCCGTGATCGTCTCAGTTTAAGGTAACAATGTTGCATATAAAGCGTTTAAGATACGTTTTGGCTTAAATATTCCGCTGCTGATGATGATGCCAAATAAACGTACGCCTCTTGACTGCATCGCAAACCAACGAACACGGGAATGGCAGATCCGATTCCACCGGAAGGATCTCGCCCACATCACTTGTCATCTGAGAAAATGAAAAAAATAATGAATGCAAAAACCCGATAAGCTTATATATCTGTCGCAAGTTAAACCGTTTTGTATTTAGCCGCATTAGTAGCTAAAATGTTGGTGCGCCACAAAATCTGCAGATGTAAGAACACAAATCTCCTTTGGTAGTTGGTTTGCAGTGATTCTTAAGTGACTGCCAAATGTGAGCAGAATCCTCAACTCTGCATGATGTGTAAAATTTAAAAAAACCGGATAACGACTATAGAAAGTCTTTAGTTATACAAAACACACCCGTAGGTCATGTTTTAGTAGCAATGAGTTAAGACTACGATGTAAAAAGAGCAATCTATTTTTCCAGGAACGCGACGAACGAAAACCAGTGACAACCGCATCACTTCATAATCCCGGCTAAGTGTTGGCAGAGTAAAAGAAATATTTGGGTGAGAATGAAAGATGCAGATTAAACATGCTCCTATATTTTCTTAAGTTTTTTTAAAAAAAAGCCAGATATTGTTATGATTTTGTATAAGTGTCGACTTAACGTCTCCCACATCATTAAAAAGAGTTCAGAAATTAACTAAAAATCGCCTAACACAGCCGTAAATTTTTGCAGTCTCTGGTTCGCATTTTTTAGTCGCTTTAATGTTTGTTGTCAAGGTAGGTCACCAGTTCTGCCCTATTACATCTGTCATTTGCATTCATTGAGAAAATATGCTGTTTAATAGAACTTGATAGTTTGTTTGCAAAAATATCCGCATTCTCGTTATTACAACCTAATTATTATAGTTCGCGTGTACATATCGGTGTGGAAATTATTTGCAGATAGCAATACATGGATTTACGGCGCTTGAGAAGACGATGTGTGGGCTTCCACCAAATAAAAATTGTGCTTTTTTAAAGTACTTTGGTGGTCTTTAGTGATGCAGGCGACGTGAATGCTGACGTGCGTTTTCCT